AGAGGAAAAACTGAAATTTCAAAACGAAATAAAATATTTAGTTTGCAATTAAACGGTACAGTTTATGTCAAATTTCATCCCCTTTGTACATAAAATATTTAAAAGAGGATTATTATCGAGTTATAAATTAATAAATAAATTATCGCCTCATTTATCTTTTACAAGACTCAGGTACTAAGTAAAAAAATGTTATCCTTGATTTATTACGTTTTTCAAGCAAAACGTTTTTAAACTTCTCTCACTTTAAACTTTGAAGTGGATTTTTTATTTAATAAGAGAAACATTGTTGTGTTGTACTTTTTATGAAAAATAAAGTAAACGCATTACTTCAGTAATAATGTGCATGATAATTACAGTCGGAAAAATTATTTTGCAATTGATTAGATTTATGAGAAATTTTTATGATAACTTTTTTCCTGCTAGGAGGGAAATGTTTCATCAGGGGTCTACCACGCATTTCCGGTTCTGTGGAATTTACGAGTACCAACTCCATACTTAACCCTTTTTTCAGCACTTTAATTTACCATAAAGAATAGAAAAAACTTTAAAGAACCATTAAGAACCGTTGGTTCTTATCACTGTAAGGTTGATTCGAACCCGACATACTTACAAATGGGCAAAAAAAGGGGCGATATGACCTCAACAGTTGCAAATCCTTACAAAAAAAGTTTCATTGGTTATAAAATCTTGAAGGACGCCATTGATTTAAAAAAAGTAGTTACAATAAAAATTTATGTTAAATGCTCAACAATATTTTTTTAAGTCTAGTCTAGGTCTAGTAAGCATAGAACATGAATATAAAATGTTACAAAATTCGATTTTTACTTCAGAATTAATTAATATCGAAAAAGTTTTACTTTGTTAAGATGAAAGTCTTCATTTCCAAAATTGAACTCAGACAGATCTATTCGGTAAATTTTTTTTTAGATTTTTGAATTATACGAGTTATGTTGAAATTGTCTCCAAAGATTTTGAAGAGATAAATAGAAAAAGGTTTCTGAATGTAACGGAAAATCAGTGTCCACGGTTGGGGAGGGCCGGCTCCCCGTATTGATTGGCAGAAAAGCCTCACTCTCTCTCGCTTCCTCCTGGCGGGAGGGATATCTTCCTCTCGCTCCTCCCAATGGCACTCAGACCCGCAAAATATATCGAATACCGTCGGCAATTTTCACCCCGAGGTGCATCGAGGCACCGAGGCAAATCCCCCTGGCGCGAGGCAGGCGCCATGTGCGCGTTTCCGGGTGTGAAAAACTGCAAAAACCGACGTGGAAAAACACCTGAAAATCACCTCTAGAAAACATCCGAGGGCGATGGACGGTTTTGCATTATACAGAATATAAATGCGCGTTTACAAAAGTTGCCCTTTCTCGAGATGTTTGCATAATTTAAAAGCTACGAAGCATAAAATAATATGCTTGCCACAAACAACGCCCATATAAGCTCATTACACTAAAACAGCAATAAAAACAAATTTTTAAGAAAAACTGCTAAATGTTAATTATTCACATACGTAACGGATAACTGTAGACACGGTAATAGTTTATTATGCATAATTATAATAAAAGCCAGATGAGCCGGTTACTGTTGTCCGTGAGACATCCTCCTTAAAACCTTCTTGTTAAGATTCTGAACTGGATCCTCTTGGTAAAACGGTCTCCGGACCTCACGATGTGGAGGGTAAAGAAAAAGCAAGTCGTAAATACCCAATAATCTACCGTGATCAAGTGATCTGACGCTAAACATGCTATAAAAATATGATTAAAAGAATCGTATAGATAATCGGGAGTTCTCATCCTTACACGATTAAGATTAAGCCAAGCGAGGTTGCCACAAGGCACTTTTGACCCAATACCCGTGTGTCTTTGTTGCGTTTCTTGTTTTTTCATGTATTCCCACGTCCAACGTCAGTATTTATTTTATAGTGGCCAACTTGCTGGGAAAAAATTGCTTTAGCTGTTTTTCCACGAGTGCAGTGATCCTGATTTTCATGACCTTCTTCTGTATACTGCTGAGGTCCTACAGACGGAATTTCTTCCATTCTTCCATTCCAGATATTACTTGCACTCATTGTAAGAGTGATTTCTGTATTTTTTTAATGTAAATCGTAAACTAACATTATTAATTGATACTGATGAGATTGACAGACGAAGACTTGGCCCGAGACTAGAAATGCCACTCAGGAACTGGGAGAAACAAAAGTCGTCCTTAATCCACAAGGATGATTTTCGCTGTGTTATTTTTGGGAAGAAGTCATAAGTAGTAATTGTTCAACTGGCCATCGTTATGTCGCTTGTTGAGAGTCCATTTTTTCATAAGTTCATAAGTTGAACGTTTCTTAGTCAATTGTATTCCGTCAGCTGGCCCCATTTTTTGTCTTTGTTAGGACTGTACTATTATAAGGTTTGACTATGATTTAGAGAGAGTCTAATGTAGTTCGGTACGCTTTAGTCTACCCTGAAAGAGCTAAACCCTGGGGTCGTATTAGATTATTTTTTATTGAGTATTTTATGATACCACCAGTTTGTCCGGTAGGCAAAGAAAGGCTTGATGTTTTTGACTTAATTTAAAGGTGGTGTCATTTCTTGGTTCTCCAAATGCTACCTGATATAAGCATTATACTTCAGCGCGGCAGCAAGCATTTGGATCCTCTGTTTTATTTTTGGAAAAAACATGGCTATTTTATTGAATAGTTGTTTTCTTTTTGTATTGAGGTTGTATAGAGGTCGAATGCGGGATATCGAGTACCATCGACTCTCATTTTGATTATTTACTTATTACAGACAATGGAGGAATATACTCCACTCCTTGATTGGAATGAATAACATGTGAATATGCATTTCAGGCTGAAATGGCCTAAATTTTGACCCCTGGAGCTTGACATCACAACCGGACGGATAAGACCGAAGTCTGAACACGGACTACTAAAACACCAAAGTGACTGACTTTCGCTTAATTAAATATAATGCCATGTAAAACTAAAAATCTAAAATATTATACATAAGAGCTTATTTCAGCCGGCTAGCTGCTAAGAGTATTAACGGCTCTTCACTTTTTGCCAATCGCCAATTTTTATTAACTTGATTTTTAAGCCCTTCCACACGTAGGTATTATGATTAAAATGTCCAAATCCAGTTCGTTGTATTGATGATGCCTTATTTAAGTTGGGTGGGAATTATGAATTGTCGATATATTGAGTCCTCAACTCTATTTCAAGGTTAATAATTACCTACAACCTAAACCTACGGCCTTTTCATCATTCATGATAATAAATACATTCATACAGGGTAAGAATCATAGTTACTATCCTACATAACTTAATCGGTTCGATGTGTTTGTGGGGGCACTTGACATTTCGCCACAGACCGTGTCAATAAATTTAACTACTCAAACAAAAAAACACATGGCACAAACACAAGGGAGTTTTTCAGTCACCAGAGTTTTGCTACAACGCCAGTGACTACTCGTTATTACACTGCCAATTTTATAAAACTAAGGAACCTAGCTTTGATATGTGAATACTCGATATTCCATCACAAACACCCACACAAACCTGCTCTAACATTCACGTTAATAAATGCATTCCTTCAAATTATGAATAATATTTCAATCAATTCATGAAATAGTTTCCTATATGAGACCATAAACCTTTTTATTATATCTTATACTTACCTGAGTATTTAATAGTGGAAAGTTCAAACTTCTTAGGTAAATCATTACCAGAACAGTCTTATTGACAAATTTAACATGTAAAAATTATATTTATACGTGTGCGTCTTCGTTAAAAAATTTATTTGACAAAACAATGAGGATGCCCAAACGATTATGACAGACCAAATCAGCGAGAATAGGCGGACCGAAATTACAGATTATAATAATATTAAAAAAAACCTATCTGTAAATTCCGAAAGACATTGTTAAATAATTCACTAGTTTTCGTGGTCCGCTTGACCAATTAATATCTTTCAATTAATTAAGGTTTTCAGTTGAGATAAAAAAAGTCAGTGTCACGAGCAGGATTCGAACCCACGGCCTTCGGCTAGATACGTCGCTACTCTACCACTTGAGCTATCGTGACTTCGATCCACTCGGGCATTAACTTCCCATCCCAACCCCATGTTTTGAATTTTCCATCTTTCTTGCTTTGACAGCTCAAGTGGTAAAGCAGCGGCGTATGTAGCCGAAGGTCGTGGGTTCGAATCCCGCTCGTGACACTGACTTTTTTATCTCAACTAAAAACCTCAATTAATTGAAAGATTGTTAAATAATTCTTGTTTTACGACCATTATTTATTTTTTATATATATTATTTATATTATGGGCACTCTCAACACGACACGCAAGAATGGCACAATTACACAGAAGACAAACACTTTGAGCCCTGAAGATGATCTCAATAAAGATCGAAACGTTGGCACAATAAAGAAAATGTTTTTCTGAAAACCACATCACACCAGACCGCATCTCACGATTTCTGAATAATTATTTATATTATTTATATAGTAATAGAGTTATAACTACACCACAAGAATAAATATTTTCATATACTTGACCATTGATTAAATACAACCCGTAAAAAAACCTTTTTTGATTCTTTCTGTTTAATACATAATTACAACTTCAACTAAAATTAGTAATTATTAAATAGTTATTTTTCTAAACTTTTTAGTTATATTTATGGATCTATAATACTTTTTTATTAACTAACCTGAAGTGTAGATGTATAAACAGATGTATTTAAACTATTTAAATGATTTTCGTCACCGGCCTGGAATACATTATTATATTTTTTTCCACCATTGTATGAATAATAATAAATCGAAAATTATCCCTTCGTGATTGAGACCGGCCGGTGAATTGTCCGTCAAAGCAGCCCGTCCATATTGATTAGACGGTGGGTCCGCCCGATGTCAACCAACCCTCTCGCCAACTCATGACAATATTCCATTGTTTCCAATTGCGACAGAGCCAATTTGAATATATTCGTTTCTTTTTCTGTTTCAGTGGGATTCGTGGACACAGGAACAGATGAAAAAGGTGAGTGTGTGACCGACAGTCTCGTTTTTCCTTCACTGTTTTTCATAATACAGTATCAATCTTAGAGAAATTACAAAACAAAGAAGAAAAAAATTTAAACTTGATATTTTTTATTATTTATTATTTTATGGCAATTTTCAAACCCAGTCGACATGAAGAGCTCCGGATTGTCAGGTTTTAATACAGATCCGCAATCAACTTGAAGCAAACTACTAACCCAATTAAAATATCAAATAATTCATTTTAAATACAACAAGAACAAACATTCATAGATATTTTTACGCTTTTTAAAATTAAAGATTTTCAAGGCAATAGTTAAAGTAGTTTACTTTTATAGGTAATATGGTGTAAACAGCTGACTTGATGCTTATCAAGTTGGAAAATGGCTTCTTAGATTATGAATTACTGCTTTAAAATATTTAAATTTTTAGTTAACAATTAAAAAGAAGTGAATCTTTGAGTTTGTTTAGTAAATTCCATGATTGTAGTGCTACAGAGAATTAATGATTAAAATCCTCTAATTTTTTTTTAAATTCGCACGACGATTATTCGAGTCGAATTTCCGTACCCAATAGTAAATTATCAATTCGGAAATTGTTCGGGCAGTTTTGGCCAAGGGAGGATCATTGGGCGATTAAGGGATGATTCAATGGGAGAATGAGCAGCACCGGATAATGGTAATTAAAGCGCAGCTCAGCCTGTTTGGGGAAGTTTCATTGGAAAACCGCCGTTTGGTTTAATCACCGACTGGAAAATTACACCCCCTGCGATATTCAAAAGCAGCCCGATGAAACAAAAACATTTCAATTTGAAAATGATATATGTTATAATTGTTTTTTATAATCTAAATGTATAAAATCATTCCATAAAATATACTGGGAATTTATTTTTTTTGTATTGATGTATGTCATTGAACAGTAAAATTTTACCAATGCTCTTGAAGACTTTTGTCTTTAGTATTTAGCCTGTAGCACAAAATGGAGGAAAAGAAAAACACACAGTGCTGGGTGGTGGTCAGTCCAGTCCCACTTACTGCAGATAACTTCATTTTTGGAGATGAAGAAAATTCGTGGGCTATGTTTTTCCAATGAGCATCAGACTTGATGAAGTCTGGGAATCAAAAACTGGTTTAGAAATTTCATTTTACACTTTTATTATATTAATATTTCTAAATAAGTATAATGGATTGGGGGACTCAAAAAATCCCACAGGGTATTATCCAAGGTTAATTTTCATTCTCTAAATCGGTTTTTTGGAAAAGAGCTGCAGATAATCACTTCTTTTTTCGAGATGAAGAAAACTCGTGGGCTATTTTTTTCCAAAGAGCATCACACTTAATGAAGTCTGGGAAATCAATCAAAGACTGCTTTAGAAACTTTATTTTACACTTTTATTATTTTAATATTTTTAAATAAGTTTAATGGATTGGAGGAAACACACAAGGCTAGGTGGTGGTCAGTCCAGTCCCACTTACTGCAGATAACTTCATTTTTGGAGATGAAGAAAATTCGTGGGCTATGTTTTTCCAATGAGCATCAGACTTGATGAAGTCTGGGAATCAAAGACTGCTTTAGAAACTTTTTTTAACACTTTTATTTTTTTAATATTTTTAAATAAGTTTAATGGATTGGGCGTCTCAAAAAAATCCACAGCGTTAATCCAAGGTTAATTTGGATTCTCAAAATCTGTTTTTTTTTAAAGAGCTGCAGATAATCACTTCATTTTTTGAAATGAAGAAATCTCGTGTGCTATTTTTTTTCCTGTGAGCATCAGACTTAATGAAATCTGGGAATCAAAACTGTTTTAAAAACCTCATTTTACACTTTTATTATTTTAATATTTTTAAATAAATATAATAGATTGGGGATCTCAAAAAATCCCACAGGGTATTATCCAAGGTTAATTTTCATTCTCTAATCGGTTTTTTGGAAAAGAGCTGCAGATAATCACTTCATTTTTCGAGATGAAGAAAATTCGTGGGATATTTTTTTCAAATGAACATCAGACTTGATGAAGTCTGGGAATCAAAGACTGCTTTAGAAACTTAATTTTTCACTTATATTATTTTAATATTTTTAAATCAGTTCAATGAATTGAAATCTCAAAAAAATCCAATGCGTTAATCCAAAGTTAATTTTCACTCTATAAATCTTTTTTTTTTTTTTTTTTTTGGAAAAGAGCATTAAACAAATTCTAATCAAAAGTTTAATGGTGCTTCAAACAAAAACATTAACAACGTATTTAACACTTTCTTTATAACATACATTGTTATATTTTGTTTTGAAAAAAATTCAAATATTCAGTCAAACTATAAGAGAATAGTAGTATTTTTTAGAATAAGTAATTTAACTGGATATATTGCAAAAATCCCAATATTAAAGTAATAAGAGTGTAAAATGAAGTTTCTAAAGCAGTCTTTGATTCCCCGACTTCATCAAGTCTGATGTTCATTTGAAAAAAATATCCCACGAATTTTCTTCATCTCGAAAAATGAAATGATTATCTGCAGCTGTTTTCCAAAAAAACTGATTTACAGAATGAAAATCCCACAGGGTATCATCCAAGGTTAATTTTCATTCTCTAAATCGGTTTTTTTGGAAAAGAGCTGCAGATAATCATTTCATTTTTCGAGATGAAGAAAATTCGTGGAAGATTTTTTCTCCAATGAGCATCACACTTAATGAAGTCTAGGAAATCAATCAAAGACTGCTTTAGAAACTTCATTTTACACTCTTATTATTTTAATATTTTTAAATCAGTTTAATGGATTGGAGGTCTAAAATAATCCCACAGGATATTATCCAAGGTTAATTTTCATTCTTTAAATAGTTTTTTTTTTTGGAAAAGAGCTGCAGATAATCACTTCATTTTTCGAGATGAAGAAAATTCGTGAGCTATTTTTTTCCAAAGAGCATCACACTTAATGAAGTCTGGGAAATCAATCAAGGACTGCTTTAGAAACTTCATTTTACACTTTTATTATTTTAATATTTTTAAATAAGTTTAATGGATTGGAGGTCTAAAAAAATCCCACAGGGTATTATCCAAGGTTAATTTTCATTTTCTAAATAGGTTTTTTGGAAAAGAGCTGCAGATAAGACTTCATTTTTCGAGATGAAGAAAACTCGTGGGCTATTTTTTTCAATGAATATCAGACTTAATGAAGTCTAGGAATCAAAGACTGCTTTAGAAACTTATTTTAACACTTTTATTATTTTACTATTTTTAAAAAAATATAATGGATTGGGGGTCTAAAAATATCCCAAGGTTACTTTTCATTCTCTAAATCGGTTTTTTGGGAAAGAGCTGCAGATAATCACTTTTTTTCGAGATGAAGAAAACTCGTGAGCTATTTATTTCCAATGAGCATCAGACTTAATGAAGTCTGGGAATCAAAGACTGCTCTACGAATTTCATTTTACACTTTTATTATTTTAATATTTTTAAATCAGTTTAATGAATTGGGATCTCAAAAAAATCCACAGCGTTAATCCATGGTTAATTTTCACTCTATAAATCTTTTTTTTAGAAAAGAGCATTAAACAAATGCTAATCAAAAGTTTAATGGTGGTTCAAACAAAAACATTAACAACGTATTTAACACGTTCTTTATAACATACATTTTTATATTTTGTTTTGAAAAAAAATTCAAATATTCAGTCAAACTATAAGACAATAGTAGTATTTTTTTTAGAAAAGGTAATTTATCTGGTTATATTACAGACATCCCAATCTAAGTTTTGATTAGTGCTTGCGTTATATGACAAAAATGTTATAGGATTTTACAGTAGTAAAGCAGTCTTAAAAGTGAAGATTTTTTGAGTCGTTCTTCTTTGCTTGTACATTTTACAATAGTTTGAAGTTTAAATATTGTTAAAATATAATTGTATAGAAACGTATTTACAATTTTATTATGGAAAGAATTTGAAATTGTAAGCTACTTGAAGAATTTCAACAAGTCAACATCCTTTGGCTAAACAGGATTCCAAAACATTTTATTATCCAACAAGTACACGGTGTTTAAGTCCTGACCGTAAACGAACAATTGATTTTTTCGGAACGTATTTTATTAACGAATTTATCGAAAATTCAGCAGAAACGAATTAATTCCAGCGTTCGGGGAAGGGCAAAAGCAATCCACACCCTCCGTCCTGAGGGCCATAAATAATTTATCCCATCCGATCCCACACGGGGTAGCATCCTGTGTCTTTTTTCCTCCCCCCCCCAGCAACACTCTCCTACAGTTGGAAAACATGAACGACATTTATATTTGTTTTGGATATGTCACACGTATGTAATATTCATAATGTTTCAGCTCCCCTTTTCAAATACTCATTTATTTTTTATGCCCGGTTGGCGGCGGCGGGGAGGGGTCGAATTTCTTGTCTGGTTTCCTAGAAAACCAGATAGACAATTTGTTTCCTTTATTTGTCAACCGGTTTGTTCTGTTTATCGAGGGGAAAACGGCTTCGATTTTTCCCCGTAATTGCTGGGATTGACTGTCCTATTTTAATATTTTTTGTGCCGAAACAATTACCAACAAGACGTATTGTTTGGTTTTCTTCTGTCCGGTCTGGTATCATTTTGAGGATTTTACTACCTATTTATTCAATTGATTACAAAATGAGGGATATTTACACTTTAAAAAATTAGAAGGTATATAATTTCAGGGATTATTTTTGTACGAATGAGATCAACATATTGACAAACTTATTAATTTAAAAACATTGTTCATTATTTTATAAACATTACAAGCAAAATTATAAAATTACCTTTCTATACTTATTTGTGACAAATTGTTCATTAAATCTTCAATATTTTAACCTTTTTATTGTCTCTTCAAGTTGACATATTCGACAAATATTTCAGAAAAATTAATGTTCTGTCAATGTTTAATTGTTTTGTAAAGTAATTTTATTTGACAACTGTGTCCTGTGAAGTTTTGAAAAATATTCGTAATAGTCACCACCTATTAAGCCTTAAGTACGTAAACCTAATCG